GGGTTTTGACTATTACGTATCGTGATCTTGCACGGGGACTCGTTCCAAGTGTGATTCAGGCTCCTGCTTGGCTCATAGTTGAATTTCGCAGCCTTTAAATGGAAATACATTCACCTCTGCAAATTTAGTCCCTTCTTTTATTCAAGTACATGAAGCATCCGTTTAGATTTTTGCATAGCTCTCTAGATGTAGTTAAATTAGCTTTTTAATATATTCGCTTTCTGATTTTCAGGGTGTCACTGTGTTTAACTGTTTTTACTGTGCAAGCTGTGACTTTCATCCTTAGATTTGTATGACTGGATAATCTTGGCAAATGTAACATTGTTTTATATAACACTAATGTAGATTTTAATGTTAATAGACTGATTTTTCATGAAGGTGGGAGCTTTAGACATTTCCAGCCCAAGTGGACACCCACGCACCAGGTTGAGCCCGCCTGTTTCTCCTGGTAACTGACAGCTCTATAGGAAAACTTCCCAAAGTATCATTCTCCACTGACCTGACTCCTTAGTTCACATTGTTCTGCTTATTTACAATGAAAAGTTAAAAATATACCTGAAAATTTGATAGCATCTGTTATCTTCAATTGATATGAGTAATTTAAATACCTAGCAGTTGCTGGAATTCGTGTTTGGGAATTTGCAGTGACAGTGAGGGTTCGGCACTAGTAAAAGTGGTATTGGCAAAGCGGGGCTGACGGTAAGTGTAGTTTTCTTTCCCCTGCTCCCTTACAGTTCCGCTGTTTTACAGAGCCCAAGGGAAAGTTAGATCATGTAATCTAATTTCTTTAATACGACAGATCGTTACGTTTCATCCAAATATTTTTCGTCACGTGAAGTCTTATGAATTAGGACCAAAGAATTTCCTTCCTCAGGAAACAAAGTGACCAGCTTGGCCTCGTGGCGCACCTTGGGGCGTGTTATCCCAGGTCAGAAGCCTGGTGAGGAATGTAAGGAGAATGATGTAGGTGGGCAAACTCCTGCTACGCAGCAGAAAAATCTCCACCCTCCTCCTCTTCAGATATTCTTAGAATCATAGAATCATTAAGGTTGGAAAAGACCTCCAAGATCATCGAGTCCAACCGTCAACCCAACACCACCAGGCCCACTAAACCATGTCCCTCAGCGCCTCATCTACCCGTCTTTTAAATACTTCCAGGGATGGTGACTCAACCACTTCCCTGGGCAGCCTGGTCCAATGTTTAACCACTCTTTCAGTACAGAAATTTTTCCTCACGTCCAACCTAAACCTCCCCTGGCGCAACTTGAGGCCGTTTCCTCTTGTCCTATCGCTTGTTACTTGGAAGAAGAGACCGACCCCCACCTCGCTACAGCCTCCTTTCAGGGAGTTGTAGAGAGCGATGAGGTCTCCCCTCAGCCTCCTTTTCTCCAGGCTAAACAACCCCAGCTCCCTCAGCCGCTCCTCAGCAGACTTGTTCTCCAGACCCCTCACCAGCCTCGTTGCCCTTCTCTGGACACGCTCCAGCCCCTCGACGTCCTTCTTGGAGTGAGGGGCCCAAAACTGAACACAGTATTCGAGGTGCGGCCTCAATTCTTCTTACTAGTTTTTAGTCTGAAAGAGAAGTCCTTTCCAACACCACATAGTCCTTATTGTCCTAATGACAACTAATCATTTAGGAGTGACTGTTCTCTAACCCCACTGCTCTGGTTTTGACGAGGCTTGGCCAATTGCTGACATTTCAAAGGAAGACAACCCTTCTCTGCAGAGCCTCCCTAGCTGTTTGTGCTTCGGAAAGAACATTCCTTCGTAATCCCTCCAGGATTAGGTTCATTCTAGTCATATGGAGCTGTGAACCACAGAAGAGGCTGTAGGCAGCAGCATGTGAGGAAATGCTGTGGGTGGTTGGCGTTGCCTCTCGACGTTAAATCATGTATGTTGAAACCATTGAAATGACTTTCCTGAGTGTGACTTTTCCTTCGGGCTTGCAGCAGTCTTCCCTAGCAGCAGGCTCTTTTAAAGACAGGCGCCTGGTCACACTCGGGATGTGTGATAAAATAGTTTCTTTTAAATGGCGGCTTCTTGTCCTGATGATGAGCGTAAATTTTTTTTTTTTTTATTGGTTTTCTTTTTTTGGAGACTTAAGTCAGGATTTTCCTGCAATGCGAGGATTGTGGCAAGTATCATACTTCAATGAAAAATGGTCTTAGCTTGATTATATACACCAAATATTGTTGAATTTCTTTGTATTTATTCTTTCTCACCCTCTTTTTAAACTGTCAAAGACTTTAAATGCTTTTGAATGATTTTCAGTAGGGGCAAAGGGAATAAGCGTATCACATGAATTAACGTTTGCAGGGTAGAGATGATATTTGCGAATTACTGTCCAGAAACAAAACGTATGACGCTTTTTTGGGCATGCAGTTCTGGTGTTTCTTGCACTTAATCAATGGTTAATTTGCGAAAAAGATGTAATAGCAGATATTAATAGTAATTCATAGTTTAAAGAAACCATAAATAATGTTCCTGCTTTCTTGCAGACCCACTAATTCATTTCTTAAAAACTCTTCAGTAACAGTTAGAGAACATTTTATTAGCTTACAGAACCAAACGTTTCCTTATATGAATAACTTGAAATTCCATCTTGAATGACAAGAAGGTCAAGAATATCCCAGCTTTGCACATAAAATCAAGATACACACATGAAAGTTTTCAGGTTTCCCAAGTTAAGAAACTTGCATTTATTAGTCAGACTTTTTTTTTTCCTGCTCAAAATAATTTTCTCCTGGGAAATTTGTCTACAGTCTCCTACTTCATTGTGTTTTGTAATATATTTATGGTTGTCATAAAAGGATTCCTGTATAAACTGTCCCGAGGTTAAAAACAGCTTTGTGTTTGACTAATCGAGGGAAATGCGATCACAAAGCAGCAGAGAACACCAGCTTCAAGGAATGCAGACGGCTGATCCTGCCCGTCTTGCAGTACTTACCATTTTCTTCATTCACCAAAACAGAGATCAAACACAAATATAAGTATTGTATAAATTGAACTACGTGCTGTCTTGCCAACTTGTTTGTAAAAACCCCATTTAAAATACAGAACAAAATCTAAACCTACTCTAAAATGTTTCTAATTTATGGAGCTGCTACTGTACAATACATTTTCCTCATGCTGGAGCTTGCCGTCATTCCAAGTCCAAGAGTTTTATCGGTTTTGCGAGTAAATTTGATTTGCATGGTATTTTGTAATTCTGCACTAGGGCCAGTTGAATGCTTTTGTTTTTCTTCTCTAGTGTAAACCTTTTAATGTAGAAGGTTTTGAGGGGATATCTTAGGCTTCCAGCTTGTCACAATTATTGTTACGCAATTAGTTTAAGTGGAATTTGTTTTGTATCGGGGAGAAAAAAACCTCCTGGTGAAATATGCAGCTCCATATTCAGGATTTGTGTAAACTGAGTACCCTTAACACTTACCTCTGATTATATATTTTCAAACAACATTAGCTGAGAATTGGAAAATAACTGCCTTTGCCTAAAGTCTTCCCAGATTTACGTTTCAAAGGCAGCTGCTTGTTTTCTTTTACCCTTTCAGTATTGATAACACATTTCAGTTATGCCTAGTAGTCATTTCTGCAGTTATTTATACTTTTTACTTATACTAAAAGAAAAGTAAGTTCTTACAGAAGGATATTGTGTTTTTTAGGTGTTTGCTAAACTGACTGGGATATTGGACTTTGGAACAGGAGGGCCTACAAGAAATTGTTTTGTAACATTGGATGAAATACCTTGAATGCTTTACAAAGTAGATTCATTTACAAGTGTCTCGGACAACTTCACCTGCTCGTGTAGAGCAGTGTCGTATGGCACAGCCGTGCAGCCCTTTGTACCCACCTGAGCTACACCGGGGGATTGAGGAAGATGGGACGTAATTATTGGAGTTGGAATACGGCCAGCTCTTTGGGGCTGTCATTAATCTGGAAAGAATTTTAAGCAATCACGATGCGTTTAGACTTTTGTTTTACATCCCGTTGGGGAGATGGAGCCTGTAATGCTCTATCAGCGCGCGGATGCTCTTCACGGGCGAAATGGAGTAGACAGGAGTAGAAAGAGCCTGTTCAGAGGTCCTTTTGTTTGTGTTTATTGAGTTAACCTTATTATAGGATGTTCCTGAGGATTTTTTTATTAACGTGTCACCATAATTATTGTGTAACTAATTTAAATAGAATTAGATTTTCTTTTGCTGATGGCGTAGCCTTAAGCTTAGTAGTTTATAGTGTGGCTTGAAGAAAATTACTCTGCTTTGGCTGTTCAAGGGATAAAGAGGGAATAGCTTAAGCTATTGAAGCAAGAGCCTTTGACACATCTAGATATTTGAACCTGCTTCCTGTTATAACGGTGATAGTGTTGAAACCCTCTATTTTAAAACACGTTGAGATGGTACACCTTGAGCCCCTACATGAGAGTACGGCACTGACGTTAATGTGGAATGACATGCTGTCATCGGCACCGTTTGAGTTAAGCGGGTCTAATGTGCTATAGCTACGTTAATGGGTAAATCAGGATACTGTGGTGGGACGGCATGGGTTTAAAGAAAGGCTGTTAGTTGACTACAACTATGAATCCGGTGTGGTCAGTTGCTGTTGAGGAAACATGACTTGCCTTTTTTTGCTTAAAAAAAAAAAAAAAGAAAAAATAAGTCAGTCTGTCTAGATGCATAAAGCCAAATTCTGTTCTGTGCTACCAAATTCTTCCCTAGGCTATACCAGTGGAGAGCTGATGAGCCTTTAATGAAGTAAAGGGTATTTACACCGGTAGCCCTGGGAACTGAGTTTATCCAATAAAACTTGGAATTTTGAACACCACATATGTGAAGTCCACATGTGCTAGTTGCTAGGCTACTGATATACAGTTGTCAAACAATTTTGCTTTTTTGTTGCTTATTTAACTATAAAGACTGTCTAGCAGAAAATCCTTTTAAGTAAATTACTGAATTTGTAATGTTTTGCTGTATATATTAATGGAGTTTTTTTCTTTTATCTTTCAGAGCATTCAGTCAGAAAAGAGCTGCAATAGAGAAAGAATATGCACAGGTAGGTTCTGGAATAATTTTAATGTCTATGGCATTGTTCTCTTGAGGCAATTTATTCATTCGCAACTTTTCCACAGTGTTATGCTTTTTCGTTTATCCTTTCTGTAATTTGCTTAGTATGAAAGTATCCAGTGGAAATTCTGAATGAGAAACTTTGGCCTATGCAGGACGTAGGCCCATTCTGTGTTTTCACGGGCATTTTGACTTGAGGAAGTTCTTGGGTACAGAAGACATTTTCAACTTTTTTTTTTCAAATTGTTATAAAGTCAATCAACTCTTCGAGGTTTTCTCAGAAGTTATTGCGAAACTTGAGTAAGAAGTAAAATCGGGTCAATTAGAGGAGAGGAAACGTGTTCTGGCATACTCGGTCCAAAATAAATTTACATTCACATTCTTTAGTAAGAGCAGCTTCCCATTCATCTGAAATAAAAGCAGCCAGATTTGGCCTCATGCTTGTGATAGGGAGTGGAATGAATTTTGATTTGTTTGTGAGAAAGGAGATGGGGGTGCCCCCCCCCCCCCCCCCCCCCCCCCATGTTCCAAAATTAGAAAGCATCTAATAAGGGGCAGCTGCCTGCTTAATTTACAGTAAAGGCTCTTGGAGTTTAAGTCCAAGTACCACAGATTAAAAATACATTAATTTATTTTAGAGTAGATTAAAGGTAGAATAAAATACAAGTGAGGGAGCCTGTGGAACTCGATATACAATAAATACAACTGGAGATGTGCCTGATGTTACAGTTGTTGATGTTGGGGCAGTGACAGAAGTGAAATGTGAAAACACAAGCTGTCGCTCGGATGGTTCCAAATGTAGTTTGTAGGCTGTCGTGTTAAGCACCCTTTTAGTCACCAGTGCTGCGTCACCCGTGAGTATATACAGAACAAACGTTTTCTGTGGGCCAGACTTTACTGTCAGTTTATGAAAGAGGATTTCTGTATGCTTTGAAACTGTGATGTACACATTTTCTAGTCCTAGATTTTCTGCCTGTGGTCTCAGCCCAAAACTTAGCTGAAAACACTTAGTAACTATCAAATGAAATTTGTACTGAATTTAATCCAAATGCTCACAGTGGTGCTGTAAGGGTCTGCAGTTACTGGCGCTCCAATTCTTTCATTGTACATGAATTTACATTAGCATACATTGATTACATCGACAGTTGCACTTAATTTGATTAAATATAGCAATTTTTCAATGACAGAATCGATATATGCCTAATGAAACTTTGATTAAAAGTACGCATTCTTTAGTGATTTTTGTAATGACATTGTAGAGAATTTAAGATCAGTTCTTAATACATTTATCCATTCTACACTGGGAATGTTTTTTATATGCAGAGGCACTTTAACAGCAGTCCTTGCATTTAGGGCAGAGTCTTGATAAGTTGGAAAAATAATTACATTCTCAGATTCGGTAGGCTCAGTCTTAACAACTGAGGCTTTCAGATACTTGCATTTAAAAAAAAACCCCAACTTTCCAGCAATACAGCTGCATCATTTGAGATTCATTGAATGGCTGCTTACATGAATGAAGTCTTGTGGGGTCGCTTCCTTGGTTTGCTGATAAGTGTACAGTTCAAGAACAATGCTGGATGTTTCTTCTTGGGCCTGTAAAAGGATTTCTGTTTTTGAGATGGTAATAAAATTGCGCATAAAGCCTTTTGGCGAGGGAAATTGTAATCAAAATAAATGCAAAGTCGTATTCATCAACAGTGGGATATTCATTTTAAACCAGTTATAAAGGGAACTGGAAATTCTCAGCAGTTAGTTTCTGAAGCAAGATTTCTGAATCTTTTCACAGATTGTGGCCAAATGCCTTTTGTCACTTTAGGGAGCTTGGAATATTCTAACTTATGACTTTTTTGGCAAGCCAAAAAAAAAAAAAAGTGGAAGCGTGGACAGTGAAAATAAGTTTCCCAGAACTGAATGCTTTGTTGGTTTAAAAAACTTGTGTGCTGATGCACTGCACTTGGGTGCCAAGTTTCTGTACACAGAGTGCTTTTGTTTGGAGAAGGAGAACCTGTATAAATGCTAGTGAAACACCATGGTTCAGTGTTTATAATTTATCCCTAATTACATGGTAAGTGGCTTGAATGTATGTGGTGAACTACAGGATCTGTATGTAAATCGCCCGATGTCTTATTTTACCGAGGGATTTTTTACTCTTTTCACCGTATCGTACCTGTTGCCGTCGAAGCTTTTCTGAGCTGTTTTTCTGCTTATTATCTGGCTCCAGTGGGTTCTTTACCGGCTTTTCTAGGCTGTGCTCTGGTATAAATGGGAGAAATATTTGACGTACCAGCCCTAGTACTGCAGTTCTGCAGTCCTTTCTGGATCTGTTGCGGATATACACTAAGCTATTTCACTTGTATTTTCAGTACTGCATTATTTAATATACACTTAAAGGCTTACCTTAATATTCAGAATTGAGAGTATAGAAGGGCTCTCATTTCCCATTAACAGTATCCCTAGTAATAACATTTAAATTGCTATTTTGTATTGTTATTATTAGCTATTCTCCTCGATTAATAAGCTAGCTGAAATCAGTGGCTAAGAATGCTCTTTTGGTAGCTGAAAGTAGAACTTGGTAAACGTGTGCTTTTGCTGCTACCTAGTAAAAAAACTGTTTTACCTAGCATGTTAAATAGGTAAAATGGGGGGAAAAAAAAATTCGAGGTCGTAATTACGTCTCTGCTGTCCTTTTAGCTTGATGACAGCCTTTCCCGGTCTGTGTCACGTCCTGAGAACACAGAGGCGACCTTCCTTGTCATGTTTTGTCATGCTTTTGTTTTTGCTCAATATTTAGCGATCGTTGTTTCAGAGTAAGACGTGACTCCAGGCAATCAACGTGGCGTGTCTCTCTCAGTTTGCAAGTAACCTCAAAGAGCTCGAGCTGTCAAATGTGCTACTCGTTTCACGCCATGCTAATTCAGTTGGTAACTGTAGTACCTACACTGAAGGCATTGATAACGTAGAAAATGGGTAGGAAAGTCCATTCTGTGAGCTGCACAAGAGCTTTAAATTTGAACTAAGTGGCAAGTAGAAGTTTCTTTTCAGATTAAATTAGAAAAAGGCACTAATGGTTACGATTCCCCCCCCTCCCCTGTGTTTTTTCTCGAGGTCAAATGAACATTGAAGAGATGTGCTGCTCAGTAAGCCAAGCTATCTTATCTGTGATCTGGAGAGCGGACAGGTCGCTTGGTGTTGATTGCTGCTTCTTGTTGCTTAGATAGTCAATGAGAAACTTGGTACATTGAAAACACTTTAAAATATGGAGAGAATGAAAGGTAGTATAGTTTATATCCACACGTTCATATTGGCAGCTATCAGTGAAGTTGCAACCGCATCCTTTGGTACTGTTCGTATCAATGACGATAATCAGGAGAGGAACCTTAAAATAAGACAAATGACCAAAGAAAAAAGCAGCCTGTCAGGGCAGCTGATGGAGGGAGAGGGGAGCGGTAAAGGCAAGAGGGAAGGTGGGTGTAAGCAGATCGTGTGATTGTCTTTACCAGCTTCTCCTCACCCCGCAAATGTCTCACCAGGCTTGAAAAAACATGTCTTTCAAGACAGCAGAATATGTGAATACCTGTTTTCTAGACAAGGGGTGAAAATGTGCAATATTCCAATAGCAATTTTTGTGTATATATAACGTGTGTGTATATACACATTATTTATTACATATATGCTTTATATAGAAATACAGTGTATAATTTATTTGATATATCTAAATAATATTTAGGGGCTGCAGTGCCCAAATAGTTGCTTGTTTGTGTTTTTTTTTTCCTTACTGTATTAGTTTTCCATTGTTTAAAATCAGAAGATAGAAGCTGACCGTTTCTCTTACCATCTTCTGACAAGGTTGCTAGGCTGCTTTGCTTAAGATATAGTGGCCTCTTTCACCATTTTTCGGTGGATTAAAAGTCTAAGGGTTTCTCCCCATGTCTTACTAACTTGTACTATGGCTAATTTTTTTTCTTTGCTATTTACCATGTAGTCCAACGCTTTGCAAATGTTAACTGATTTATCCTTGTACTGTGAAGACTGGGAAGATGATAGTATTTCCCTAATAGGATTTGGAGAAATTGGGTGGATTTTAGCCAACACAATACAGGTCTTTTTGATAGAATGGGAACTAGATCCCCAGTCTTTTGAATATTTTTTTTTTATTTTTTTTTTAAAACAGAAGCCTTTGTCAATTAATGCAACTTTTTCTTCAGCAGTGGAATTCCAATAATTTTTCTTCCTTTGCCTTGTAAAATGTTTTGAGATTTATAGAGGAGGAGCCCTGTACAAATATTTATTTGTAAAGTACCTGTGCTGGCATATTACAAAGAGGTAAGGTGTGCTTTAGTAGATCGCAGACAACTTCCTTGAAAATCAGATTGCTCCACTTGCAGTAAAAGTAGAATCTTTCAAGAAAGAAAAGTGAGATGTTAGGTAAAGTACTTCTCTTTTGAAAATATATCGCTTTATTCCAACACTGCAGTATTAACTGTAAGAGCAGGAGGAATGCAGGCACTACACGGGAACGGCAGCGCCTGTGAGGCTTGGGGAAGGTGCTAGAGAGCTCTGTAAATGCAGCCATTTCAGCGGTGAACGCAAGTTACCTGGATCGATTTGGGAATCCCACGTGGCAAAACAACTGCAGCTTGGCAAACGCAACCTTACAACAAGTTTGGAATAAAAACAATTTCAAAGTGAAACGAAGCCTTCCCTCTGACTCAGCAGCTAGCTAACCCCTGGGGTGTCAGTAGGATAAACTTGAGGTACCTGCCTTGAAAATCCGACGAGCAGCTTTCTCTAAGTTCATTCCCTGTAGTCTGGACAGAATGTTTTGGGGTTTTTTTTTCAGCCCAAAGGATACAGAAGGTTAGTGTGGCCTTACAGGGAGCAGGAAGAGATTGTAGACTTTAAGGGTGGGTCCCCGACCTGGGGACAAACAAGAAGCAGCCGTAGATTGACTGGTCAGTCGCCTGTTTTGTTTACCGATGAACTTAAATT